AGCCGGCAGGCGGCTCGCGTTCCTATTGGTCGTTCGGCGCCGGGGGGAGGGCGTTGGCGGGCCGCGGGGAGGAAGAGAGGAGGCGGGGCTTCCGGCGGCGCCGCGCGCTGATTGGGCGGCGCCGCGAAGGGCGCCCCGGCGGCGGCTGCGGCGGTGCTGAGCGGGGGGAGGCGGCCACGTGGGGGGCTCGCGGAGGGGGTGGGAATCCGCGCGGAGCGGCGCCGACCGGAAGTGCCGCGGCCCGGCCCGGAAGCGCCGCGTTTGGCTTGGGCGGGGGGCTGCGTGGGGAGCAAAACCGAGGGCACCGCGCTGCCCCGCGGCCGGCATTGAACCCAACGCGGGCGGCTCCGCGCTCCCTTCCGGTCCGTGCTCAAAAAGGCCCTGAGCCCGCAGCTCTCCCAGCGCTTCCCGTTCCTCCCGGATCTGGGCACAGTTCTGCAGCTGCTCTGCCCGCAGCCCGGCTCCCGTTGGCCTTTGGGCCGCACCCTGAGCTCACCGTCACCTCGTGGCCCCCAGCACTCCCAGCTCCTTCCCTGCGGAGCTCCTTCCCAGCAGCTCAGCCCCAAATCGCACTGATGGTTTCTCCTCCCCTGTTGCAGAACTCGCCGTGTGCTGCCCACGCTGAAACCCATCGCGTTTCTCTGCCCAGCTGTCAGCCTGTTCTGGTCCGGACGGGCTGAGGGAGCTGGGCTTGTTCAGCCTGGAGAAGAGAGGGCTGAGAGGTGACCTGATTGCAGCCTCCAGCTCCTAAAGGGAGCCTACAAACAGGACGGGAGTCAACTCTTGGAAAGGGGAGATGGCAGCAGGACGAAGGGAAATGGCTTTAAGTTGAGGGAGGGCAGATTGAGGTTGGATGTCAGGGGGAAGTTCTGTGCTGTGAGAGTGGTGAGGGGCTGGAACAGCTGCCCAGAGAGGCTGTGATGCCCCGTCCATCCCTGGAGGTGTTCAAGGCCAGGTTGGACGGGGCCCTGGGCAGCCTGGGCTGCTGTGAAATGGGGAGGTTGGTGGCCCTGCGTGCAGTGGGGGAATTGGAGCTTCGTGATCCTTGAGATCCCTTCCAACCCAAACCACTCTGCGATGCTGTGGTCTCAGTGAGCAGCAGCACGGCCTTCCACTCCACCAGAGCTCCAACCCAGCAGAGCAGATGGTGCTGAAGCACGGGGCTCCATCCTCTGCCTTTCGCTCCCAAACATTTTTGCTGGAATGCAAATTATCACAAACCCACAGCACGAATTTCACAAGGGTCGAGGTGTTGCACTGCGATGTGGATGCGGAGCGTTGAGCCGTGGGAATCACCGGGACCTCATTGCTGCCTCCCCACTGCTGCCATTCCACACGTGCTGCACATGGGTCTGAAATCCGGGTGTTTCAGGAGGGTAAAACAGATCCTGAGCTGCTCCCAGTTAATTCCACATCCACCTGTCTGCCCGATGGGTGAAGCATTACCCCATAGTAACAGCCTGGCAGCTATGGGAGCAATGAGCTTACATAGGAACGTGTATTTCTGCTGTTACAAAGCCCAGTGCCTCACACAGGGCTCTCACACAGCGCTGCTGTTCTGAGGGCTGCATGCACAGCAGTGAGGGGTGGGAGGCCGCCGGTCCCCCCCTGCCCTGCACCCTTCCCAAATCCACCCCCTGTGCTCCATTTCCAGGTTGCTCTGGCAGCTCCCAGCCTCCACCAGCAGCTTTTCCAATAACTTACTGAAAGTGCAAAGGTGAGAACTTTTTGAATCAGCTCAGGCTGGGAGATGGCCCCGAGGACGCGCTCGATTCGGTTCTTCTCCTCCTGCATGTCTGCTTGCTTGTGAAGCTTGAAAGGCAGAGCAAAGAGCATTAGCACAGACGTGAAGTGGCCTCCTCTCATCACCTGGTGCTGCTCACCTTGCTGGATAGGCTGCTAGGTTTGTCTTTAAGCACAATGTGTGACAAACTGAACCTGTCTGTGAGTAACATGGCTGTTATCTACACGAGGGGCCTCGCTCCACACGAGCACAAAGCACCATCAGCAACAAGCTGATCACCACTGTTTATCTAAGGCCAAGTAGAACCGTGCCTCTGAGCAACGGGAAATGATCCTAAAATGAGAGAGGCAGCAATCCACTAGGTGGCAATTTCACACCGCTCGAGGACCAAGGAGCTCAATTAAGGCTGAATCATCGTCTGTTCACCACCCCAGCGGGCCCAGCAGCACCCAAACTCCACCTCAGTCAACACAGCCGCAGGGTGGGACGTTTTTCCCTTCGCTGCACAAGCTGGTTGTGCACAGGAAGGGGCCTGCACTCACCTTGAGCATGGTGTCTAAAGTAGTGCTGTCTCCATGCTTCAAAATAGTGACGTAGACCTGGGAGAGAAGCACAAAGACAGCCTTCACACATCGCACCTGGGGAATGCAAAGCTCACCGTGGGGAAAGGGGCTGTGCAACAAACAGCTGTGATGTGTTGGGGCTGGATTTCAAACGGGTGAGCAGAGCTGGAAGGTGGCTGCACTGCCCCCTTTTGTTTCAGCACTGAATTCCAGGACGGCTCTGCCAACCCCTCTTCCTTCATTTCAGCTTCAGCAAAACAAGAGAGCAAGAAATCTTTGCACCAAGCGCTGACAGCGGGCGCTTCAGGCACACAAAACCCACATCCAGACCCTAAAACCAACACCATCCAGAGACCAGAGGCGTTCCTGTGCCACTGCAGCTGGGAACCAAACCCCCTGATAACCTACAGGACTCCTCAGGTCAGCTGACAGGATGTTTTTTCCTTCCACGTGGTCTTTAAACCGGCGTCGGGCTTCTTCCAAGGTAGCCTTGTGCCCGGCTTTGCCAAGTTTGCCCAGCACCAGACCTCTCAGAAGGGCATCTAGATGACCTGGTCGGTAGGAGAGAACAGTTATTTGGAGACAACTGAATGAAGAAATGTCATTCTTTGATTCTTCCACCTCCACTGATAAGCTACCAAATAATCCTTCTGCAAATGAGGGGCTATGTAAAGAAATCAGGACTTTCCAGCTCTCCTCAGTGCCACTGGAGGAATATTTTAGCTTTTAAACAGCAAGAGGATAAAATCCCAGAGCAAACACAGCACGCTCTGCCTGCGGTCTGGTAATCACAACCAACCTGCTGGATCTGCACTGGGACCATCTGTGGCCTCCCACCCTGACAGCCTAAGAAGTTTGGTGCACTCTGATAGATGCAAAGCAACAGCAGAGGGTTCTTAAACCAACCACTGACTGCACAGGGAAACGTTCACCATTTTAGTGTGCACTTGAGAGAAGGGAGTTGTTTGCAGGCTTTGTGTTTGGCTTTTTAAACATAAAGACACCCCCAAGTGCCTTCCTCAGCCCTTCCTCTTCCTCACTTCTCTGCCATTTCCCAACATTTTGATGGCTTATTTGTTTCAAAACCCAATGGTGAGTTCTCTTACCCTCTCCAGGTTTGGGGTCCCATCCCAGTCTCTCCCCTATTGGTGAAAAGACATCTTTCACAAACACCTGGATTTCCTCATAGAAGTCTGTGTGGGACAAGAGAGTTGAGAGAATCTCCAGGTTACAGCTGAGGTCGCTCCACACCGTGTAATTGGGCTCATTCACAAACGCTTCCATCACTTTCAGAACCTCTACAGTGCTAATGATTCCAGCTCGGGCCTGGGAGAGGAAAAAGACACGGATTAGTTTTCCTTCCATGCAGATTTAAGGCATTCAGCTGCTCCCTGCCTCATAAATGAGGCTGTGCTGAGCTCTGAGGGCACGCAGTGCTTTGCATGCACAGGTGACACCATGGGGAGTGCATTCTGCAAACAGGAAACAGACAACGAGCTTAAATGACCTCAAAGCAGAGCTGGCAAGAGATGATAAACCCGAGTGCTTCTCAGCCAGATATTACACCCCCCAACAGCTTATTTTTACCTAAAATTGTAATGATTGTGAGGTTTAAGTTTTGCTCCTCGTTAAATTGGCAGCACAAAGCTGCAGGGACCATCTTTGCTTCCTGCTTCTCATAGAAGTGCAAGCAGCCTTCCTGCCTGTGCCAGGGCAAATCTAAGCTGCCTCCCAGCACCGTGAAGGTGCTCAGTGCAGGTGATAAATCTCCAATCTGCTTCACCTGGGAGCAGACTGGTAAATCATGGCAAAGAAAAGGGGGTGGAAAATCGATTTCTGCTATTTAAGCTGTGATGAAGTATTAATTAAATGGAAACAGGCACAGAAACGAAGGAGTGTAACACAGATCCTGTGTGTGTTGTTATTATCTGTGCCAATGGTCCTGCAATACGTGGGAAGGGACCCAGGCCACGCTTTCAAACCCCCTTGACTGAGCCATGACAACTCAAACCCACGCTGCTCCAACCTCCCATGCTTTTGCTAACCAAAAAGAAAGCACAATCTGAAGCACAGAGCACAGCAATGCATTGCTCAGAGCTGACACTGCCTGCTTTTGAGGCAGTCCCTTGCACTGGAGCACCAGGAACCCCCAGCAGCCACCTCTGCCAGGGGAGGAAGGCTTGACAAACCCTACTGGCTGCTGAAGTCTTGGGTAAAGTCTTTGAGGGGATCATTAGAACATCCCTGCTTTTACCAACTAAAAGAAAGTTCCCAAAAGTCTGAACCTGTTGAGTGAGTTCACAGTGAAACACATGCAATAATCCCAAGGGTGCTTTGCCTCCAAAAAACAGAGACCGACTCTTCAAACACCCATTTCTGTCACTGGACAGAACAGCACTTACTTACCAGAGAGAAAAGATCATTCTGCAGGCCAAGCCTGTCCACGGGGGGTAGGGAGAGGTCTTTGATGGCTGGTATTAAACTCTCCAGCATCTCAGGGCTGTACTGCGTGCGGTAGAAGCCTACTGTGCCAAGGTTCAGCTGAAATGCACCAAAGAGCAAGTGATGAAAAGCCAGGAAAAGAGAGAGAAAAAAAGCAAATTTTGTAGTTTATTTTAAATCAGGAGCGCTCAGGAGCTCAGCTCTGGTGAGGCCGCACCTCGAGTGCTGCGTCCAGTTTTGGGCCCCTCACTGCAAGGAAGATATTGAGGCCCTGGAATGTGTTCAAGGGAGGGCAATGAAATGGTGAGGGGTCTGGAACACAGGGCTGATGAGGAGAGGCTGAAGGAGCTGGGAATGTTCAGCCTGGAGAAGAGGAGGCTCAGGGGAGACCTTATTGCTCTCTATAACTTCCTGAAGGGAGGCTGCAGTGAGCTGGGGGTCGGCCTCTGCTCTCGTGTCATCAGGGATGGGAGCAGAGGGAACGGCTTCAAGCTACGGCAGGGGAGATTCAGGCTGGATATGAGGAAGTATTACTGTTCAGAAAGGGTGGTCAGGCACTGCAATGGATGCCCAGGGAGGTGGGGGAGGCACCGAGCCTGGGGGTGTTCAAGGAAAGACTGGATGTTGTGCTGAGGGACATGGTTTGGTGGGAGCTATTGGGAACAGGTGAATGGTTGGACTGGGTGATCTTTTAGGTCTTTTCCAACCTTGGTGATTCTATGATTCTATGATTCAGTATGAGGTGTGGTAGATGGGAGAGCTGAGGAAACACGATGGGAGCAAGGGGGAAAGAGAAACCTCCACTCCTAAGCAGGGTAAGGGTGAGGAAGAAGAACACAGTGCAGAAGACACAACACAGCTACAAGCCTCACTTCTGTAACCTCACTTCAGCTTCGTCAACACGACTCTGACACAGAACTGTGGTCTCAAGAAAGGACAGCCAGCGTCCCTGCCCTGCATCACAGGTCAGAAGTGCATTTTGAGGTAGGAAGGCAAAGATCAGCAGCATCTTCGCTCCTGCTGGGGCAGAGGGGTGGTTGTGATGGGCTCCTCTCCAGCAGGAAGATGTGATTCACAATAACTCTCCCTGCTGTTCCATGGATGCTCCTCCAGCTCAGAAACCGTCATTCTAAACCTCCTCTGTTCACGCAGCAATAATTCCAGTCCCTTGCTTCCTTTCCATTCTCAAATGCTGTTTCTGCCCCAGTGTCTGCAGCACATCTCAGCAGTGGGTTTTTCCACTTGCAGATTCCTACCTGCCTGGTAAAACCCACTGGAAACCTTCACACTAATGGGAAATAAACAGGACTACTTTTGCTCAGAACGGACTTGAACTACACTGCAGTTGCCACGGGATACTGAAAAAGCCACCGGATTTAAAATCAAAAGCTGCTTCTGCTTAATGGGACTCTGTTTTTCTGGGCTCACACTCCCAGAAGGTTCCAGTTTACATTGTCTAGGCTGCTCCTGGAAACAAAGGTCTGAAGGGAAATGTTAAGCATTACAGACAGGAGCCAATATCCAGCAGCAGCACAGCAGAGAGGCCCCTGCACAAGAAATACAAGATTGCAAGGAAAAAGAGAGGGAAGAGGGAAGGAGAACATCACAGTGACAACCAAACTCAGTGCTCCCTTGTGGCCACTCACCTTCACCCACTGGTCTGGTTTCACATCTTTTAAAACCAAGGTCAGCTCTGGCTTGTCCATCAGCACTTGCATTTTGGCACTGGTGGGGTCGTCACTCGTACAAATACTGATGGGGACCATCCACATGGGGAAATCCTCCCCTAAAAGAGGCAACAACAACAAAGGAAGGCCTAAGGAAAAAGGGTTTGCACACTGAGAAGCCTTGCGTGAGGCTGAAGTTTCGGCAGCAGCTGATGTCAGTATGTTGACATTTAAACTGACAAAAACCTGAAGGAAAAGGGCAGTTCTAGAGACCAACACCAAGGGTGTCTACAGCACCTTTGAAGCCTAACACTTTACTTTCCATCTTCAAATAGAGCTGACTTCCACGCAAGACATTTTTATTCATTCACAGCCATAAGACCAGCAGCTCACAGAGCTCCTCAGATGGCAGCAAAGCCCTTAAAGCGGACATGGGAAGAGAAGAGCCTCAGAATGAAAGCTGAACTGAAGACTGCAGCTTTCACCATAGCAGGAAGACGTGAAAAGCATCACAGCACTCAGCTTTATGTTCATTCTGAAGCCTTAAACACCCAAATCCAAGCAGTGCAGCTGCCTGATCACCCAATATTGCTGTCACTGCACAAAAAGGAATGAATGCTCTGCTTCTGCTCCCAGCCCTCATCTTACCAGCATATGGTCCACTGGCACAGAACTTCTTCTGGACTAACTTCAACACTTTGTCATCTTCTTGCTAAAATATAAAAACAAAAAAAAATCAATCAGATTCTTTAAGAATTCCAACTTATTTCAACGTTCAGAGTTAAAGAAGAAAGGAACTTCAGATCATTTAACCTCAGCTTCCATTCAGCACGACTTCGGTGCGCTCCTTGAACTCACAGAGCTTCCATCCTCCCCCACAAACAGAAGCTCCAGGATTCATTCCACTTCACTCATCATTACTGTTGTGGAGATGCACGTGCCCTGATCACCCACTGATTTTTTGGGGTCTGATTTCACTTCCCAGCCACTGATCCCAGCTCAGCCTGCGATGCTGCAGCGTAAGCACAATCAGAATGGAGCTGGAAGCACAGTGTGCACTGAGGGGACCCACAGCAGATATTGCTCTGCCCCTGCAGCTTTTCAAACACAAAGAGCAAACGGGCCACGTCAGCAAAGCCCAGGCACAGGGCCTGCAGTGCCTCTGGATAAACTCTATTTCGCTTTCCACCGGGTTCCTCCTCTTCTCCTCCCTGCAGGAACAGACCTGCCACTAAGCAAAGCAATTCACTGCACGTTTTTAAGATACTGGAAAGCACCAAATTTGACCTTAAACGCAGCGAAAGGCAAAACATCTGCTCTGAAATTAAACCAGCTGCTGTAAGGGGAATTACTGCACAACTCACCTGTTCAGCTTCCACGTAAATGAGTGGAAATCCCATTTGTTTGGTCCATGTGTTCATCACAGCAGCAATAGGTTTACCACTAGCTTTTTCCAGGCTTTCCCAGAGGTCCTCTGTAAGGAAGAAAAGACTGACTGAGGACACCCCGAGCCCCCACCGTGTCAGACACTGTTACACCATGGGGCTCTGGGGGGTGGGAGCTGTGGTTACTGCTCCCATTTGCCCACTGTGATCTCCTCTGCCCTTTGGGCAAGTTGTGAAGGCGACAGGTGAGAAAAAGGAAACGGTTTAAACCACCTGCAGGTGAGGAGAGGGGGGGAGAAAACCTCACAGCAACTCAAAGCACGCCATCAATGCAGGCTGCACGCTGGAAGTGGCCCAGAGAAGAGCCTCTCCCTGCACTTTTCATCTGTGATGTCAAAAGAGCCAAGCGAGCCACGGCCTGCTTGAGGCTGAAGGTCCAATTGCATGTTTAGGAATGACATCCCCCCAAAAAAAAGGCCTAAGACAAGAGATGTCAGAGCAGACTTTGAACTGTTTACTCATCCATGCAATCAATACTGCCAAGCGTGGCGTGCAGCAGGCAAACCACCAGGCTCCATGTCTGTCACCACGGGGCTGTGCTCATCAGCACGAGGTGCAGCTCCTGCAGTTCACCTCATCCAAGGCACAGAGCCCCCAGAGGGTGCAGAATTCTGGCTGTGCAGGGAAACCTCGTAGGAAACTGGATGCAAACCCATTATTTCCTGCTTTTCAGTTGCTCAGTTGCAAAAGCAGCTACGTAAGAAACCAGCACAAACCGTGTCTCAAGAAATTACTTCTCTTAATCACGTAATAATCAGTTACCTGTGGCTGCATTCTTCTGCAGGAACTTTGTTAAATATAAATTCATTCCTTTCCGAAAGTCCTGGGAACACACAATTGGATGCATGTCATGGCACCACAGCAGAGGCCCCTTCCGTCCTCCCTCCGTGCTGCATTTAGATTCAAGAACCAACCCAGGAATCCCAGGATCCACACCTGTACACCTGTAACTCCCTCCTAAACTCTGCTGCTACAAAGATGAACTCTTCTGTGTTTTTCCCCAAGCCAGATTTCACCACTGAGATGATTTTACTTCTGTATCTTCCCCACCGCCTCATTTCTCCTAGGTAAGTTCAAGTACAGCCCAAGACCCACACAAAACCAAATACAAACCCAAAACCCACACAGAAGAGAAGTCTTGGGGATAGAATACAGACATAAACTTCAGGTGTTTGCAGTGCAGAAATATTTGAGAACCTACAGTTAGCTCCTGACAACGGACTTTTTACCTCATCACCAATGTAGTCGTGCAGCATTCGGATCACAGATGCTCCCTTGCTGTAAGAAATAGCATCAAATATTTCATCTACTTCGGATGGATGGCCAACACTAACCTGTGATGAAGAGGATAATTAACGGTCAGTTAATTGCCACAATGTTCTGATTTTGTTTGTTCTGTTGCTTAGGGAGTTTTCTGACTGAAGAAAGCAATGTGTAACAGAGGAAAATCCACCAAGTGTGAATGCAACCTTGGGTTTTACTTTGCATTATGAACGAGCGTACAGCTCCTTCTTAACAGGGAACAAAAAACTCACATCCAGCTGACAAGAAAGGAGATAAGCAGGAGGACAAGGCTTACTTCAATTGGGTGACTGTTGTCTAAGGCATCGAGCTCCTGAGCTCGTGTGTAATCAGCAGAAACAAACTGAGTCCAGATGTCATACTCTGGAAAGCAGTGGTCGACACACAGGTATTCAATCCAGGAGGCAAACCCTTCGTTCAGCCAAAGATGGGTCCACCACTCCTGGGAAATGAAGAGGGTAGAATAATAAAAACAAGATTCCAAGGGCTTTACTTCACCAACAAGAAGTCAGCAGCAAAGAGAAACTTTTAGCATCCTCATTCAGCACAGGGCAGAGAACAGGGAATGCCTGCGAGCAGCAGCTCCTCCCTATGAAGGGGTCAGCAGCCCAAGAAGAGCAGTGAGCACCTTCATCTCCTCCTGTCTTAGAAAAGATCCAGAAATACCCTTACAGGACACACTAATAAAGAAGGATCTGATGATAAAGCAGCTTTTAAGACTGTTATGACAGGACACAATAATATGGACATGAAGCACACAGCAACAAAAACCAGAACTTGTAGCTGTTAGATACCATGGTCACGAGGTTTCCAAACCACTGATGAGCAAGTTCGTGTCCCACAACCAGAGCCACCCACTGGCGAGATGAAGAACAGGAATTTTTGGGGTCAATGAGCAACGCAGTCTCCCTGTATTTAAAAGAGAGAGGTAACTGAGCAGAGTGAAACGTGCCTAGGTCCAAAAACACAGCAAAAGCAGGTGAAACAACCTAAACGAGCTACAGAGTCATCGGTACAACTGAAAAAAACCAAGAGGTATTTCAGTTTAGACGTTGCTTTGGTAAGTTCCACAGTTACTGGAATGCTTTGGAGCAACAGTTCCTCACAGCATGCAAGAAAACAAGTGCAGTAACCCAAGCAGGAACGAGAAAGTTTATGCTCTATGTGTAAAACAGCTCCCCTACGTAATCTAGGAAGGAAGGGGGGACACGACAAGTCTCACCTGCACTGAAACTCCCTTTGCACTGCGTGGTGGATGCACAGCCAACCTCCTCTGCCCCCCTCAGCCCCAAAGGAAGCCCAGCTCCCTCCAGCTGTGTCCCACACACACAGTCCTGCACACACAGCACACGGGAGCCCCCAGCTCAGGCAGCACCACCTTCCAACACCCCGCTGCAACCGGGACGCGGTGGGGCAGCAGCTTCAGGACTGCTGTGCTCCGAGGGGACGAAGCTCCAGCACAGCTCTGTGCCAACCTTCTGGCCCCAGGGGGATCAAAGCAAGCGTGCCAAATTAAGAGTAAAAGGGGGAAAAAGGAAGCAGCAAAAATTAAGAAAGGCTTCAAAAAAAGAAAATAATCTACTCGTTGGTGGGGTTTTTTCCCCCCCACGGGAGGTAAAAGATTTCATCAAAATCGTAAGAAGTTCAGATGTGGATTTTTAAACCTGGATTCAAACATCCACTGCAATTCTTTTTTTTTTTTTTTTAAGGCCAAATTCAAAGTTTAGCAAAAGAAATTCAAAAGGATTGAAGCCCAAAGCTTCCAAGCCCAATGTACAAAATGGAGACTCAGTCTAACAGTGTGCACAGATCGTGTAGGAGTATCAAGCAAAGGTCTAAAAGCTTGATCAGAGGAACACCAAAAACTGAAAAGGAAGGCAAGTTAGCATCTTTCATTTACATGATAATCATGTGGCTGCTACATTGACCAACTTGCCTGCAACATAAAAGAAGGAACCCTTCCAGCTGTGCCAGTAACTTGGAGGGGGGAAAAAAAAACAGCCAAGAAAGTTCTCTTGGAGAACAGGCAGTGCTGCCAGACAGCTGAAAGCCCTCACACCCTTGGACAGTGCTTACAGAGCTCATTCCTGCCTTCCTGAGGTCTGTGTAGCAATGCACGCTGCTGCAGAAGTCACAAGGATTCAAACTGAAGCAAGGGCTGAAGGTATTGATTTAGTCTTATTTGGGATGACGCCAGCTCCCTAAAACTAATTCCAGTTACTGCTAAGAATTAGTGAACAAAGAAGGGGAAAGACAGTATTTTAACAGCATACCTATAAGTAACAAGGCCCCAGTTCTCCATGGCACCTTTATAAAATAAATACAAAGGTTTATTGATATGGATACACACCTCTTCCTAAACGTTTATCATTCAAATAAAATACAGTTCATCAATAAAGTGAGTTACTTTACCAGCAGCAAAATCTGCAATAGCTATGAGATCAATTTTAGGAAGAGGGTAAGGAACATTGAAGTAGTCCTTATAAAAAGGCAGAGTTTTAGCAGCAACCTGTAAGAGAGAAGAGGAGAAACCTGGTAAATATTTTGTTAACTTGGAACAACTGGTGAAACCAAAAGCTTCCCGATGGCCAACACCAGCTGATGAGAGCAGCACACACAAGCTTTCCTCCAGGCGACTCACTCCCAGCTCCCAAAGCACCTTGGGAGGCTCCCATCCCCTTTTCCTCCCAGGCTGCCCCCTTTCCTTCAGCATTCCTCGTCGCCCATGGATCACAGCTGCACCATTAAATTGAAACGACTCGAGTGAAACGTGTGTTCTGTCATCACAGACACGAGTTTGTCCACAAGTGAAGCCTCCTCCAACATCAAGCCCAGTCCCCCTGAGCTACTGAAGCAGAACACCCTCCCAAAGCTCTGCCAGATCTGTGTGGCCAAAGGAGAGGCGCACGCAGCCCGCAGAGCTCACACCACCACCACCAAAATCACCTCGAGTGCATTTACCTCTAATGCAAACTTTCCTTGCTCAGCTTTGCCCACAGGAGTGTAAACACGCACCAAGACCCCATCAAGGGACCTGGTCTCTACAAAGTCATATTCTCCCACCACAAATGCCACCAGATACGTCGACATGATGGGGGTGCGAGCAAACTTGACTTCCACCAGGTTCTCATCATCTGGGTACGGCTTCCGGTCAATGACATTCTTCAACATGAAAGAGAAGCAGATTTGTGGAAGTGAAACTGTTCTGCAACGCCTGGCATTCACTACAGCATCGCTAGGAATCGCGTGTTGAACAGGAAACAAGTTCCCTGTTATTATAATACAGATCACCAGTTTCCCCCCCCCTTGCTAAAAGAAGCCCCATCACGAATGGAGACGTGCTGCTGTGATGCACACACGGTGGAAAGGCAGGTGCTCTTCTATGCTATCTGCTTTATGTTCTATTCCTGGAAAGGCAGCTCAACATGTCAGCTATCAGCTGCTGCCCTGCACACAGGATGTTATGCAGTTCCCTGTAAGGCACGAGGCTCAGACCCAAATACTGAAACAGAAACCATAACCACGTGGTCAGTGAGCAAAGCCAGACCTCGCAGGGAACAGTGAAATAAATGGCATTTAGCAAAAGAAAAACATCAAAATAAAACCCATCTTCAAACTCACGTGCTTTCCTCCAAAAGAGCATCCAGAAATATCTGCACCGTGTTTCAAACAGTAACCTGAGAACGTTTGTGTCTGTGACAGAAGTGCTGCCACCTGCACACCAGACATCCTCCAGGGCAAAAAACACGCCTGTTTATCTCAAGCTATAGCAGCTATACAAACATGCTAAGGGTTGGCTGCTCCCCCCCCCCCAGCCACTCTCCATCAAGCAGCACGTGGCATGACATATGCTAGACTTCAGCTAACAAAACAAACGTGCACCACTGTGGTTTGTAAGGTCTGTTTAGGTTTTGTGCTAGCATCTGAAATAACAGTATCATCTTTTAAGAGTTCTCTCCATTTACAGCTGCTTACTCATAGCTACGAAGACAGTCTGCATTCCTAATTCCCCAAACACATTTCTCTTCCCATCAGGCAGCTGCCTTTATTGTAGTTGTATTCAGAAGACAGTTGGTGCATCGAGAACTTACCATATTTGACAAAGCTACTCTGTCTTTAGGAACCACCAATGAAATATCAAAAGTCGCCTTAATAGCAGGCTCATCCCAGCAAGGGAAAGCTCTGCGAGCATCAGTAGCCTGGAAGAAGAAAGAACATTAACCCAAGAGATCACAAGAAGCTGCTGCAATGGAAACAGACCAAAAATAGGTATATCTTATGGGCAAGAAGTTGGATGAATGCAGGCTGGTGGTGATGGCACTGTGCACCTCCTCACCGACCCCCCTGAGCCCTACGCTGAAGCATTCGGTGACTGATGCGATCATTTGTTTCTCTCTCTGTTTTTCTCCTTCCTTTGTAACACAGCTAAAAAGCACTCTGTGCTCTGATGGAATCCTACAGTCTGTGCAGAATTTAGCAGAGTCATGGCAGGAGCAAAGCTCAGTCATGTGAAAGCAGAAGGGCACGCAGGCATTCCCAGACAGCAGACACAGGACCACCTATCCTGCACCCAAAGGAAGCCTTCTGTGAGTGCCAGGCAGCACTCTGTGTTTTCCTGTGGCACGCAGCTACGAAATCACAATATGGAATGAAATTCTGTCCTTATGACCAGGGCTTACATAATGCTTGAGCCATTTTCTGGCTCGTGTTTTGGATGTCATTATAATCACAGAATCACCCGGGTTGGAAGGGACCCCAAGGATCATGTAGTTCCAACCCCCCTGCCTAGCAGGGCCACCAAACATACACATTCAGATCAGGTTGCCCAGGACCCCGTCCAACCTGGCCTTAAACACGTCCAAGGACAGGGCATCCACAACCTCCCTGGGCAGCCCTAACCACTCTCCATGTAAAGAACTTCCCCCTAACATCCAACCTAAATCTTCCCTCCTTCAACTTGGATCCATTTCCCCTAGTCCTGCTGTTATCAGCCCTTTTGAAGAGTTTACTCCCCTCCTGGGTGTAGGTTCCCTTCAGGTATTGATAGGCTGCAATGAGGTCACCCCGCAGCCTTCTCTTCTCCAGGCTGAATAATGCTGAGATAAAGGCAGAATGTTCTAATTAAAAATTAATATATTTCACAGGGGCAAGCCATACAGATGTGTTTGACCACATCTACATAAATAGATGTTTCCAAACGCTGCATCTGTTTTATTTATATATAGTGCATCACACATCAGCATGACTGTTGGCTGGGGAATGCGCCAGACCCAGACTGCACCGACCTTCAAGTCACAGCATAAAGGACAGTTTGAGCACTGCCCATCCACCAGAAGCAAGAAAATAAAAGCATTTTTGAAGTTTACCCAAAGCAGAACCAAAGCCAGGACAGCAGGCCTGCGCTGCTGCTGAGAACAAAGACCCCACAAGAATGAGAACCCTTGCAAAGAGAAACGCAGCCCGTACCTCAAACTGAGTGACAGCAGCATAGCGTGTGTCTCCAGTAGGGGTTGTGTATTTACTTCGGTAAAAACCTTTCATTTTATCATTCAGCTCCCCTACAAAGTCTATCTTCAACGTTCCCGTCCCTGAAACAGAAACAGATTGGACGCTGTTAAGGAAACACCACAGAGCATCTCTTTGGCCCAGACCTGCAGCCTGGGCCTCTCAGCTGGACCACTGCCTTTCTGAAGATGGCCTTCGGTTCATCCCCACCCACAGGTTTTCTGACTTTCAAACCCTTTGCTCTCCTTATGAAAGAAATGAGATCCAGCAGAGCTAAGCATCCAAACCAGCGCAGGCAAAGCCAGGCGTACCATCCAACAGAGCAGGTTCCTGCAGGTTCCTTCTCATCCTCTGAACACAACACAGGAACCAAGAGAGATCTCCCTGAAGCCATTTGACAGGCCTGACCCCACTGCCCTCGTGTGTATTGGCAAAAACACAAGCTGTGGCTGTTCATCCTCTGAAACTTGCTGCAGAAGCAAAGCGGAGCACTGGTCGCATTCAAGCTCCTAAGTCAATTAGTCTCAGGATTTATTCTGCCCTCCACCACTGGGTGTAAAAGGGGAAACCTGATCTTGATCAGAAAGGCAGCCTGCCAAAATCCCACAGCACGAAATGCCAGCAGTTTTATCACCTGACCATCTTTACATTTGTGTTTGAAGAGATGAAGCAAAACAGCTTCATCCAAACCAAGGAGCTAAGCTTCAATCCACAAACCCCACACAGCAAAAAAAAACAATGGCTTCAAAAGATTTAGTGCATTCAAGCCTAGGAAAAACGCTGCAGTAACTCAGATTAGCCCTTTCTCAGTAAGAGAACAGATCATCAGTATGTGACAGAAATAGCTTTGAGCCTAAAGCCCAACAGCAGGTAAATAATTGGAGTCACCTTCATGTTAGAAGCAAACACCACCATTAAGAAAACAATCTGTCCAGTTCCAGGGGCCCACAGTCCAAGCGATCTTATCTGTTGTGCTTCCCATGAACCTCAGAGATTTCAGTACCACAGGGACCTTGTGAAAGAGGTCTCCTGAGTCAGGTGTTAATCTGTGCTGCCCGTTCTAAGCATCCATTCACTGAGCAGACACAGAGATCATCAAAGCACTTCCTAGAGAAACAGATGAAGAGCAGCTTCTTATGGCACTTCCTTGAACCGCATTCTTTCTGCTAGAAGAGGGAACTCCAACTCTAAGGTATTCTCAGAGTTACTCCAGTCTGACAGCTGATAGCTCAGGTTCCACTCCCTCAGCCTCTGGGGGACACGCAGCTGCTGCTCCAGCTTTGCTAAGCACCACAAATGCACAGGGCAAAGCCAGCTGAAAGCACCTGAATAGCTCTTACCTTTCTGAAGGGTACTGGGAAAGGAGAGGGTAACCTTCTCATCCTCATTCTGATAGTTGAACCCTGTGGCGTGTACCTCTGCAAGAGAAAGATTTTGTTTGAAAGAAGATCCAGGGATGCTTTTGTGACTCCTGAGCACTTCAGATGAACCCGATCAGCCGAATCCAACAGCAAATCAATGGAGGTTTTGAATAATCCAGAAGGATCGTTTTGAGCAAGCAAAGAAACGCCAGCCTTTGTCTGCAATGACCCCACCTCACCTTGCTTCAGGCCTGAATTCAGCACATTCACTCCAGAGCCTGTGCAACACTACTCCAGCCCTCGAAAACAGCAAGAAATGGCACTGTTTTCCCTCAATATTAAAGGCTTACATTAGTGCAGCAGGAGTCCTGTTAATTACCCTGAGCAGAATGCTGATGATTTAACTAATAATTTGTGGGCTGGTTTGAAAAGCACACTAATGCCCACAGCAAGGTGGTTTTGTTTGGTTATAAGCGCTAAGAAAAACTCGATGCTGATTTTATTTTAAGCATGTCTTCAGACCCACAGACCTACCTTGGAGATCGTGCACCATTCAGCAAGGGCATCCAAAACCAACTGGAATATTAAGCAGCCCGGCATTCATTCACACAGCGTCGGGATCTATTTGTAGATGCAAACATCTCAACTATGAGAGCAAAGCAGGAGAGCTGGGGGAGGGAACCAGCAGAGCAGAGCTGCCCTGCAGCCCGTGGACAGAGCCAGCTCCTCCTGGTGCTCCTTCCTGCCCAGCTCCCCAAGTGCCACTGGGGCACACGAAGCGATGCACGACGGCGCTCCTCCAACCACACATCTAAAATAGCTGCACGGGGCCTTGCTGTGCAAGTTCTGCTATCTTTGTCCCCCTATAATTAACTGCTGCCATAACTAGCTATCTCTAAGGAATGCAAATCTGCACCAAAACAGATCAGCAGAAACAGAGACCGCACGTCAGTGCCACGAACGAACCAGCTGGGTAACCCTGGGCACGGCAACGCCGTGCAGGAACGCGTAACTCCAGGTTCACAGCGAATATCTGGCAGGTCAGAGCAGTTTGTGAAGATCCACAAAGTGCCCAACCCAGCATCCAGTGGCAGCATTCCCAGCACAAACTGCCCACCCCATCCACTAACAGCAAATCCGATGGGAAAACACGGTTTGGGTGCTGAAATGGCAGAGAAACTCCAGGGAGCTTTTCAGAACTGACCCAGGAAGAACGATGCAGCAAACAGCCTCTGAAACCACAGAACGGCCTGGGTTGAAAACGACATAAAGATCATCTCGTTTCAACCCTGTGCCACAGGCAGGGTCACCAACCATCAGCCTGGGAGGCGCACAGACACACATGCTGCTTTCTGAGCAATCACAGAGAGAAGGGACAAAACAGAACAGAACAAAACAGAACAGCTACTGCAGAGTGAAAGGCTCGTTTAAAACAAGGCTGTGATTTACAGCATGCCCTGCCTTCCCTGCTCAAGTGTCACTACCAGAACCCAGGTACGCAGCTTCGGAGGCAGCCCGAACATTCTCAAGACGTTCAGATAAGCTGTTCTATAGACAGCAAATGTAATTGGAGACATGGTTTGATTTTGTATAAAATGTGACGTGTTGGTTTGGTTATTTTTCTGGAATACGATGCTGTCAGCCTTCAATCAGAGCAAACACCACCCTCTGCTCACAGAGCACACAAACCACACCGGCGCTGCTTTCACACCGCGCCGCTCGGCCTTTGGGCAGGGCAGCACCATGACACAACTCGAGCTGTGCAAACAGACAAAGATCTTTACAGGATGGAAAACAACTCCACACTGTACTGGGGAGCTGCGAGAGTTTAAAGATCAGCTGTGAGCCGGATGAGATCAACTGCTGAAACAGACCTGCTTGGGTTTGCTCGCTGGGGGAAGCCAGCTGTACCCTCAGCAATGGAAAAGTCCCTTCATGGAGGGGCTGTGGTCCATTGCAACTGAACTCACACCAACAGCAAAGCCATTGCCTCCACTTACTGCATGTAGGCTTGGAATTTTTCTACTCCAGACCTACAGCAGGATCGATATCCCCTGCTTTACTCCTCACTGTCCCTCAGGGGTGGCTCACAGAGTCCTCAAAGCAGTTACTGATACATTCACACGTCAAAAAGAACAGAATGTAAATGAAAGATTTGAAGCTACACTCTCTAAACTGACGACTCAGCACTAATAATTAAACCCACAGCAAAAAGCAGCACAGAAAACCACCAGCAATGCTTCTTGTCATTTAAGAGAACCACTCACAAACGAAGATGTAATTGCAGTTAAAGGCCGTCCGAATTCCTAACAGCACTGAATACAAAAGCTCCTGAGGAGAACAACCCGGTTTTGGCAGCCTGCTCACTTTGGAGAGTCTGGCACTGCAAGGTTGCAAGTTAATCACCAGCACATTAGTGCACAGTCTGGACCAAATAGCATGAGAAAATACAAAGCTGCTAGAGCTGCCTTGGAAAAAAAAAAAGCATCCAAATCAGAGCTAGCGACTCTCCCAGACTGGGAGTGCTGCAGATTAGATTTTACAACAGCATTTTAAACAAATTACAGCCTTCCTACAAAGTACTTCCTGAAATGGCACGGTAACGAGATGGAAACGTCAATTAATGATCCCAATTTCTGTGTTACACACTTCCAAACGTGGAGCCTCGCCAGCGGTTCCAACCGATGTCAGACGGACGCGGAGCAACACGGCCAAGTGGGAATGGTGGCACTGGGACTATCAGAATCAAGCTGGCTGCAGAATAATGCTGCTCTATGCACACAGGTTGGGCTGGGGGGGGGGTTGTGTTTTCTTTTTCCAATTGGCCCCACATAAAGCAGGATGAGATCGACCACTCCAACAGAGCTGCTGGGAGAAGTCAGCTGCACCCACAGCAATGCAAAGCTGACTCCTGTGGAGGGGCTGGGGGCCGTTAGAGCTGAGCTCACCCAAACTGCACGGCCACGGCCTCCACTTCCCATCACTGCACTCTGGTTTGGGATTTTTCCATTGCAAAGTACTGAGCTATCAATATCTCCCGATTTATTCTTCACTGTCATTCAGCTGTGGGCTACGTAGCAGAAATTGGGACTGGGACTTGAAAAGTTCAGCAATCATCCCTCAGCTCCCAGTCAAACTTTGGGAATGCATCTGATTGCCCTGGAAACGTGCATTAAGGACCGAATGCCACCCCCTGCTGCCTCCATCTCCCAAAGAACAAACAGGTGGAGCCTTGCAGGAGAAACCCTCACACAGCTGAACTCGCTCTCAAACATCCTCCATAAGCAGCATGAAGAAGATTCACCCAAGGGACCAAACTCTGCTGATTCAGCTGATTTCTGTTGCTTCGTTGGACCACATTTCATATTTGGTTTTTGTGACCAGTTCTAAAATTACCATCCAGAAGCTGTGCACAATAGAAGCATTAGTAAGACCGACTTGATCTGTATCAACAGGTGCCAGCAAACAGCCTGCCAATTTCATGCAATTTTACTTCCAAAGCCATTACACTATTTGGCAGTTCACCAACCTGAAAGATACGTTTTAACCCCACGAAGCCAGACTATAATTACAGAAATCATGCCAAACTGCACCTCCAGTATTTATGCTACAGCACTTGGAGAGGTGAGCACCCACACTGCACGTCCAGAGCCCGAAAGCTGACATCAGAATGAAGAAACTCAAGCTACAGAAATTGATTTCCAATTTACTCAGTTTTAAAGACAAAAGCCTCTGTGAAGCTCTGCTGTTAATACTTCAAGGAGAGTGCACCACTGGTAAGGAATATAAAAGCAGACCCCCTGAAGGACAGTGAGATCAGCTCCGAAAACACAAAAACGAGACACAAACACCCTTTCTATTTTATTAACTTCCCTTGACTCGAGGGGAAAGCGATGATTCTCAGGCACCTTTTCCATTTGTTTTCACTTTCTCAACAGCAAAACAAGGAGCCAGCAGGCGGTGTGGGCTGGGGAGCAGTGCTGGATGGAACAGACCCCATCAGCTCTGCTCCTCCCTGCACTCTGTGTGCTGCTTCCCTGCTGCAGCTCCCAACAGCACCTCTGCTTTCTTTGGTCCTACATTAAAAAAGCATCAAACAGATTGAAGTGCAAAAACTCCCTGTTTGCCACACCAAACTCCATCAGCCTGAGGATTCAGCCTGCTATTCCAGAGAGGGCACTGCAAGAAGAATGAAGCAGTCCCAAGGAAGGCAGGTTCCTCGTGCAGGGGTTCAGGCACAGCCCTTCCCTCCGAGGCCCCCAGCTGCTGGGCAGATGTACCTGGGACGTTTAACCCACTCTCCATGGCCTCACACACTCCTTTAATTCACAACCCAGTTCTGATACAGTTGCTCCTAGGACTCTTCCTCCTGCAGAGCCTTTTGTTGTCTGAGTGATGTAAGAAGCAGTTGTACATCGTGGACCAAATTACTACCATGCCTGAGGCAGCAGAGGCTCCCCGTGACAGCCAGAAACCCTTCACCCACTATCAAAGCATTGCTCCATTCCAAGCTCCTGATTTTCCACACCTTGATCATTTCATACTGTAATCACTGTAACTCTTTTTGGGCCTGCTAAAATCTCCACACAATAGATTGGTGATGACATCAACCTCCATGGCAGCATATCATGACAGCTCCTGCTGCCTTGTGTCCCCAAGAACCTCCTGTCTTCCAGTGCACTGCCTGCTCTCCTCCACACAGCCACCTTTTTCCACACTAGGAAAATTCTGTTCCACGTCAATTAAGTTTTTTGCACTTTTTCACACCCTTCACAGTGAGGATTTCCTACTGCTGGCCATGCCTGATCCAGCTCTAAGCTAAGCCCTTGCTGCAGCTTTTGTCAATATTGCCAGGTCCATAGGTGCAGAGGATGTTTTTTTATGCAGGTACAACAAACAAACAAAGTCACAGCAGGTGCCCTTTCGCCTACGACACACAAATGGGAGAGCAGGCCAAAGGAAACTTGAGGCAACACACAGGAATGGGGAAAAGAAGGAAGGCTGGGGAACTCGCTGCACGCTGTACAGGGAGGGCAGCTCCTCCAGTTATGAGATGTATTTTCTATTGATGTTGTTAACCGTTGGCAGCAGCAACAAAAACACCATAAAACAGCAGCCCTACCTTCGTCTCCTTCTGGCGCATAGGAGGCTGTAATGATGTCGATGTCAGCACAGTTCATCACAATCTGGTTGGTGCCATGCTTCACCTGCAAGAGAAACATCATCAGCACCAGGAATAAGGGAGCAGAATAAGGGAGCACAGGGGGCAGGGCACCCCAGCGAGGCAGGCATTCTCCATCTATCGACTCCCACATCACCACGTGCTTCCAAGGGGCAAAGAAGAGAAAGATTTTCCACTGCCTGCTCTCGCCCTTTTCAGAACCCGAGTGCCTGAATCCCACTCCAACCCTCCGTCCCTGCTTATCAATACTGTAATATTTCAGGGAATGGGCTGCCCGTTCAATACGTGTGCTGGACAATGGGGCCCTTGTACACGCCTGGAAGCCAAGACCAATGAAAACAGATGGAAAGCTGTAGGCTTCCTTTCAGCAACGACCTGGAGGAGACTGCAGAACAAGTGGAATGCTTGTGAACACAAACCCACACCTCCCAGAGATCACAGGCAGCACAACCTACAGCTCAGCATTCTGCACCGGTGACGATGTTACAAGTTCTTAGGTTAAAAACATCTGCCAAGAAATTCCCTTTACATTTTCCTGAAGGCTTTCCTTCTGCCAGCTCTTGGCTAC